CGGGAGGCCTCTGACGCCCCGGGAGGCTTCCCCAAAGCCGTCCCAGAAGCCCCGGGGCCTTGCTGAGAGCACTCCTGCCTTCTTAGAGCCCCCCCCTCCCGCGCTCTCCGAAAGGGCCACCCCTCTCGGGCCAAGCCCCCCCCCCTTGTGGGCGCCACCAGAGAGGGAGACGAGGAGAGGTGCAGAGGCCCTTGGCATCGAGGGTGGACGCTTTTGAGGCCTTGGGTCTCGAGGCCCCTTTGGGCGTCCCGCGGCGCCCTCGTCGCCGCGGCTGGATTCCCACTCGACCGTCTGGCCAGAACGGGCCCCAAAGAGGTCTAGAGGTCGACAGGACCATTCAACACGAGGGGAAGCTGACACCAAGAGCGCGAGAGAGAGAGAGAGAGAGACAGAGAGGGAGAGAGAGAGAGAGAGAGAGAGAACAAAAAAAAGAAAGAGAGAGAAAACGAGAAAACGAACGAGGGAGAAGAAGCATAACAGCATGGCAGGGGGGAGGGTGAGAACCAAACCAAGGCGAGAGGGAGGAGGGCATGGAAAGACCGAGGGCGGAATAATACTACGCGGAAAGCCGTGTAAGAGAATGTACAGTGCGGGCGCGGCCGCAAGAAGCCCTCGCAGGAAACCGAACCCTGAGAGCCCGTGCGCGCGGTGCACCTGAGGGGAAACCCGAAGCACCCTGCACGCAGCAGCCCCTTCCACGGCTGCCGGAGGTCGCCGTGCACGGCGGGGACGAAGAGCACGTGGCTTCTTGATGCGCGCCCCCACTGTAAAGAGAAGCAGTGGGGGGTACTCCAGATTTCGTAATAAAAGGCCACACCAGGCCACATCTTCCACACCAGGCCACAGGGATGAGACGAGGGACCGAAAGCACCCCACCCCAAAGGGGGGTCGAAGTTTCCCCCTCGAGGGGATTCAACACAGCCCCCCCCCACGGATGGGGTGTAAACAAGCCCTACAATTCTTTTCAAAGCCAGAGTCCAGCCTCACCAAACAGCGCTTTTTGCGCCAAGGTGGCTCCTATGGGTGTTCGCGCATCCTCCTGCTCCTGATCCGTCTGCGCCTTCGGCGTCGTCGTCGAGCTTCTCGTGACCGTCGCCGTCGTCCTCCTCCGCATCCACGTAATACTCCTTCTCGCCCTCACACTCTCCCTTCCAATACCTTCCTCCTCCTCCTCATCCCCCTTCTCTCTTCCTCCCGCTCCTCCTCCTCCTCGTCATCCTTCTTCTCATCGTGATCCTCCTGATCCTTCTCCCCCTCCTCCTACTCCTCCTCCTCCTTCTCCTCCTCCTGTACCTCCTCATCTCATTCCTTGTCGTCCCCTCTTCATACGAATCCTCATCCTCCCGGTGCTATTCCTCCTCGTAGGAGGAATTCCTCACCCTCGTCTTCATCCTCTACCTCCTCGTCGCACTGATCCTGTTCTTTCTCCCAATAAGGGTGGGGGCCCGAAGTTCTCTTTTCTTTTGGAGGCCTACCCCCAGCCTCGACTCGCGTTGGACCGGCGAATCTATTCCGCGAGTTAACAAGTTGAGGACGTCCTGAGCGAAACGCTGTTTTTTTTTCGGAATTGCGATAGAAAAAAACACCTATAATGAAGTAGACATGCCCGTTGTTTGCAGATGTCTCGAGCAAAGCGCTCGTTTTGCAAACTTGTTTGAGGATGTCTTGAGCGGCACGCTTGTTTTGTGTTATGGATCGCTCCTCTCCTAGGATGCAGAATTGAGGGGACGTTCCAGGTGAAATGCTTGTTTTCACGTGCCCAGGTCCTGAGCATCTCTCGAGCGAGACGACTGGTTTCACGTGTCCAGATTGACCCCGTAGATGTCTAGCATGAGGATTTGTCGAGGATGTCTCGAGCGAACTTCTTGTTTTCACGCGTCCAGGTCGCCCAGGCAGATGTCCAGCATGAGGACTTGTTGAGGATGTCTCGAGGGAGCCGCTTGTTTTCACGTGTCCAGGTTGCCCAGGCGGATGTCTAGCATGAGGATGTGTTGAGAACATCTCGAGCGAAACGCATGCGTCCAGGTCGCCCAGGCGGGTGTGAGATATTGAGAACGTCTCGAGCGAGACGCTTGTTTTCACGTGCCCAGGTCGCCCCAGGAGGATGTCTAACATGGAAAAATGTTGAGGATGTCTCGAGCGAGCCGCTTGCTTTCCCGTGTCCAGGTCGCCCAGGTGGATGCCTAGCATGAGGACGTGTTGAGAGAGTCTCGAAGGAACCGCTTGTTTTCACGTGTCCAGGTTGCCCAAGCGGATGCCTAGCATGAGGATGTGTTGAGAACGTCTGGAGCGAAACGCTTGTTTTCGCGTGTCCAGGTCGCCCCAGGCGGATGTCCAACATGAGGATTTGGGCTGGGCAAGATGTCGCGAGCGAAACGCTTGTTTTCACGTGTCCAGGTTGCTCAGGCAGGTATCTAGCATGCGGAGGTTTTGAGAACGTCTCGAGCGAGACAATTGGTTTCACGTGTCCAGGTCGCCCAGGCGGATGTTTAACATGAGGATTTGTTGAGGATGTTTCGGACGAGCCGCTTGTTTTCACGCGTCCACGTCGACCAGCCGGACGTCTAACATGAGGACTTGTTGAAGATGTCTCGAGCGAAACGCTTGTCGCAATAGAGTGCATCGCAGTCCAACCCCGTCCGTCCGTGGGGCGTCCCCCGTCGCGCTGGCGAGTCCCCTGGCGCGTCCGTTACGACGTTTTGGCGTGACGTGCCCTGGCACGTCCCCTAGCACGCCACTCGGCGTGGCACGTTCCCTGGCTCGCCCTCTGTCGCGTTTCCTGGCCCGTCCCCAGGCGTTTCCCTTGCCCGTTCCGTGGCGCACCCCTTGCAACGTCCCCTGGCATGACCTCCTCTGGCCGCTTCATGGCACGCGCCTTGGCACGCGCCCGTGGCAAGTCCCTGACACGTCCAGGGCACGTCCCCTGAGACGTCCCCTGACACGCCCTCTGGCGCATCCCCTGTGCGCCTCTGGCACATCCTGTGGCGCGTCCGTGAGCCTGTGCCCCGTGTCGTGTTGATCCTTTTCGCTCTTCGGAGCTGAGGTCGAGTTGATCGAACGTCCCGCACGTTTCCACTTACACTAGCTCTGGGGCAGCTACTATGTGCTCAGGCAGCTCGAGCTGAAGATCCAGATCAATGTGATCAGGACTCGGATGCAAAAGAGGACTCGATCCACAACGCTATAGAGCACAATAGCGTCATGGCACAGCGCAATTCAGCGCGGCTCAGCACAGCACAGGCCTTGGCAAGGTGCATCTAGATCGATACGCGCAGCATTGCAGTTGCCCGTCGCCCAATCAAGCCTCTTAAAAACGCTGCCATGTCCGGCGCTCCTATAGTACTCCAGATTTCGTAATAAAGGGAGGGGGGTCTCATTTCGGGGGGGGTCTCTTCCAGGCTATCTTGAAGGGCCTGGGGGGGTCTGGGGACGATGTTTGGGAGGGTTCTCCCACGGGGGAGGTCTGAAATGGCTTGTCTTGGAGGGTCCAGACCCCCTCCCTTTTATTACGAAACCTGGAGTATTCCTTTCCGGGTTCGTGGGCCGATCAGGCTCCTCCTCGCTCTCTCCTCCCCCATCCTGCATCCCCCCTCCTCGCCGCGCTCTCGCTGGAGGCACCTCCACGACTTGCTCCGGCAGGGCCCCCCTCGGATCGGCCCTTGCAACCTATAGAAGGATCGCGCTCGCGGCTCGGCGCCGGCCACCTCCTCCGTCGGGCCAAGAGCGCCCAGACCGCTCCCGGAGCACAGCTCCACGGCAGAAACGGACTCGGATGGTTCGTTTGGGTCTGACCCCTCCTCGCTCCTCTCTCCTCCCTCTCGGAGCCCAGAGTTTCGAGGATGTCTCCAGCGAAACGGCCTAGATCACCTCTGGCGCGGCATCTTGGAGCCAAGAGTTGCACGACAAGCTGCGTGTAGAGCGTACCCGCTCGAGGAAAGTGTGTCCCCCATCTCGGACCCAGTATAAATAGCGGGGTCCGCAGACCCCCGTATTCCACAGTGAAACAATGGTGCGGAGCGTTTTGCGCATAATCTTTTACACCTAAAAAATCGGGAGGCCCTAAGATTAGGTCGGGCGTGTCCTCCGACAGGCGGATTTTGGACGAACCTTCTTTTTAAAAAGCAAACAAAAACATCACAATGAGCAACAATAGTGAAGACTTCGTCCCCGTAGTATTTTTTTTGACTATTTTTGAACATTCCTCCTGTAGAGGGACAGACCCGAATTAACCCTAACATCCCTCATTAAATAATGCAGAGATGACCGGTCTGCGTGCTCGTGGACGGCGCGTCCTGCGCGCAGAAAATGCTAGAGAAAGTCTCGAGCGAAACGCTTGTTTTGCAGAACTTCAAGGATCGGTGAGACGTAAGTAGAGGGCAAAAAATCACCCCCCATAATAACCACCCCGACACGCGAAGCCGTTTACTAAACGCCCCCACTGAAGGAATCGAACAGGGCAAGGCTGTTTAGTAAACGCCCAAGGCCGTTTAGTAAACGCCAATTGTCCGGTCTGGGTGGTTTTGCCTCCCTTGAGTAAGACTCGGGTGCAAGGGACTCGGGTTGGCCTGACGGGGACACCAAAAAGCTGACGAGACCTAATCTGAACTTTTTTTTTCCAGCGCGCCCTCTAGATGATGAAAATCTGGGGCTTGCGCAGCCACTGTTCGGGGTCGCCTGGCCGCCCAGCCCAAGCGGCCAACAAGGAGAGCTGGCAAAGGGCGCAGCGGCCAAACATAGCTATCTTCGCAAAGAAGTAGCCACAACTCACGGCAACTTAAGGCTGGTGGAGATCCATTCGCAACTGCAATCTGCGTGGCCGTTGCAAGGATTAGTGGTGTAAGGTATCGCGGTGTGCCAGCAGCCAGCCCCCCTCGCGCCAGTCACCCTGAGGGTCGCGCCAAGCATGGAGGGCCGCGGCAACCACCACAAGCACATGCTGCGTCGTCCCCAGCTACTCCTCATCCTCTTGTCGCTCCTCCCACCCACACCCCCCCCTCCTCCGCCACACATCGGGCCTCCCACACACAACAACTATAAACAATCCTTGCACACTCTGCACGATTTTTGGAAAACGACTGCGTAGCAGCCTCGCGCAGACAGTAGACGGCATGCCCTATCGAACCACGCGGCCCCAAAAGCGCGGAGGCACGATAATATATGTGCATGGAGCGAACGACAACTACAGAATTCCGAGGGACTGGCGGCAGCCATGCCGCCATGCTTGATGTCAAAGAACACCTCGCTGCGTCTTACCTGGACCGCTCGTTTGCTACAGCACCTTTGACGTCATGCTACGCTGGAAATTTACACGCGGCCTCTACCTCCCTCGCACGCACTGTTTGCTGGTGTTTCACTCCATTTCGAACTTGTTTGCCAAAGACTTCCAGCCAACTCGTTCGCACGCACGGCTCAGAATGACGTACGTGCTCGCGGGTAAGGGCAACTTCGCCTGACTCGCGTCCCTGTACAGTTTCACGGCGTATTCAACGCGCTGGATCATAATGCAGGAACGGATTGCATGATGGTAGTCGATGTGGTCGGGCTCGAACGGGTGTCCCCGCATCGTCTCGAAGATGGCAATTGTTTTCTCGTGCTGGCCGCTGAACGAATACACCCTGATCATGATGCTATACGTTCTTGAGTTAGGAGCCACCGCATGGTCAACCCTCTTCATGAACAACTCATGAGCTGCGTTGTGCATGCCAAGCTGAAGACGAATACCTAACGCCGCATTGTACGCCTCCCGGTAGAGCTGAATGCCTGATCCCTCCATCTCATTGCAAACCGTCAAAGCAAATTCTGGATCGGAACGCTCGCAGGCCACGACAATGGAACGATATGCCCATTTGCTGAGGCTGACACCTGCGTGCTTCATCTCCACGAGATATTCCACGACAGTCCCTGGAAGCTGACGACCCTTCCAAGCAGCCAGCAAGCGGTTCTGCAAATTATACGACGCGTTGATCTCATGAGCTCGAACTAAATCAAGAAGCCGCAATCCGTCTATTTGAATGCGTTTGTCATCGAGAGTTTCAGCGACGAGCTCGAAGAAACGGTTTGACACGGCCTTGTGAATGAGGTGTGCACCAGGAACAACCCCCTTTTCCAACATCTGGTCGAACAACGTCACGGCTGCTTCTCTTCTCCGTGTTTAAGTCTGATGGAGGCATGCACCACTGTCAGCATGCTCGGGAGTTCGTGGGTCACGCCATCTCTCTGCGCGCGCTTGATAATGTACATGTCGGCGGACTTCGATCGGCGTCTTCCATATCCAAGCTGATCCCATGAATCCTCGCGGCTGTCATCAACAACATCTAAATTCTTACACGATGCAGGTTCCTCGGCGGAGACTGCGCGCCAGGCTTCGCGCCTACCTTCGAAAATCGCCTTGCCGATCAAACATATTGTCAATATGTTCGCTTTTGTGACTTTTTCCATGCCCTTCCAATAGCGGGAATCGACGAAGTAGCCGAGAACGCAAAGCGAAAGCGGGAACGTGCCGATATCGATGCGAAGACCTGCTCCGCCCAGAAAGATGGATGTGGCAAAGACGCCATGGCGTAACGCCGAGAACGCAGCACAGAGCACCGCGCCACACATGACAAGCCCGCGGGCGGCCAGCGCAGTTGGATAGCTCGGACAGGACCGCTGCACCTTCGCACGCGAAAATTGTATGGATCAAACCCTCGAGTCTTCTTGAGCCAACATCTTGAGCCAGAATGGCTACGGAAAGACCTAATCTGAACTTTTGACGCGGGCTCCCGCGGGCTCCCGCTGCAAAATTGGACCGTCAAGATCCAGGACGCGCTCGTCAAAAAACGTCGGCAAACCCGAGTTCCGGCTTACTCGAGTCTTACGCTTCCCCGAAAGAACCGGGGCGCCCCAGGATGCCAAAATGGTTCTGGGAGTGCGGTCTCACCGTGGTTTAGCAGGGGTCGTGGCCATGGGAGCGCCGACGCAACGTAACTTACGAGGGATCGTTGCCCTGGGAACGCGGACGCAATGGAGTTTACAAGGAATCGTGGCTTCGGGAGAGCGACCGCAGAAATTTACAAGGGTTCGTGACCTTGGAAGCGCGGGCGCAGCGTAATTTACGAGGGGTCGTGGCTTTGGGTGGAGCGGGCGCAGCGTAATTTACCAAGGATCGTTGCCCCGGGAGCGCGAGCGCAGCGTAATGTACAAGAGATCGTTGCGCTGGGAGTGCGGACGCAAGGTAATTTACAAGGGATCGTGGCCTTCAGAGCGCGAACTCATGGTAATTTACGAAGGATCGTGGTCCTGGGAACGCCTCCTGGGGATTACGTGTGTTCCTATATCTATATATAGATATGTGTATATATATGTTTATATATGTATGTGTGTATGTGTATATGTACATATATATATATACACATACCTCGACTCCTTCGCGTTTTAATCGTATTCCGATAGATTCCCGCCTCTGTTTGGGCTCGAAAGCGTTGTGCGTAATGTGGATTCCTATGGACTGTCCCTGTCCTGGGGCTCGAATCCGATGCGTGTATTCATCTATTTCTATAGGTGGGCCCTCCCCCTCTCCTGCGCAAGCTGGCGAGGCCCCAGGAGGCCTCAGGAGGTCCCAGGGATATGTGCTCGGGGAGCTTTTCTCCCCCCCCCCGCCCCCAGGATGCCCCAGGTGAACCACCTCTCGCGCAGCATCTCGGGGCTCAGGGGTGCGAGGATATCTTAAGCGAAATGTGCCGGACCGCCTTGCGCGCGGCAGCTCGGAGCTCAGAGCGGTGAGGATGTCTCGGGCGAAACGCGCAGGACCACCGCTCGCGCGGCAGCTCGGAGCTCAGAGTGGCGAGGATGTCCCAAGCGAAACGCGCCCGACCACCTTTCGCGCGGCAGCTCGGAGCTCAGTGCCGAGAATGTCTCAGGCCAAACTCGCCAGACCACCTCGCGCCTGATGTCCCAGCCGAAACAGGCCAGACCACCTCTCGCGCGGCAGCTCGGAGCCTAGAGTTGCAAGGATGTCTCAGGCGAAACGCGCCGGACCACCTCGCGCGCGGTCTCGCAGCCCCGAACTTGAAGGATGTCTCAGGCGAAATGTCCAATTCCCGCCAACTCAGAAACGAGAGTTATGAGGATGTCTCAGGCGGCACGGCCCAGACTACCAAATTTTCTTCAGGATGTCTCTGCTCGCGCGTCCCCCGACCAGAATTGGATTCTATCACATCAGCACCCCGTTCAGCAAGCTGTTTGGGAAACAGAGGCAGGTCATTTGAGGACCCCAAAATGCCCCCGCGACCTCCAAGACCCTCTCAACAGACTCTCAAGAAAGCATCCAAAATTGCTCTATTTGGCCCCCGAGAGATGCTCAAGAACAACCTGCGTTGAAGAGGGAGCAGGGGGGAGAGGGAAGAGGAGAAGCCAGGACAAACAACCAGGATATAACAATGCTGTGAACAAGGAGGAGGTGTTCAAGACTCGCTCTCAGTGCAGCGCCCTCTGAAATTGAGCGGGTCCTGCAATACATTCTTCATGCAGCGCTGATGCACTGCTGCCCTGGCACGGTGGCGTGGTTTGCCGCAGGCATCTGAATAAATGGACAAGCCAATGTGAAGACGAGGACGAGAATGGGGAGAGCAGGAAGGACGCATGCAGAAACGGATGGGGAGGCCCAGTGAACGCATTTTGGCGCCCCGCTCCGCACCGACTCCCTCGCCCAGAGGGGATCCCGTCTTCATTCTCGTTATCCTCATATCTGTGCTGCCCGTGCTCGTGCTCGTGATTTCGGGCACAAGCGAAACCACAGGCCCAAGAAAGGAGGCGCCTCAGTGTCGCGTGCGGGCGGGCCTCGATGCGCACGGCGCTGCCCTGGCCCCACGTCGTGCCCAAGATGCGCGCTCGCACGGCCGCCCGCTTTCGTGCTCGTGCTCCATTCTCCCTCGTGCTAATGCTCGTGCCCGTGCCCGTGCCCGGGCCCGTGCTCGTGCCAGGGCCCGTGCTCCATTCTCCCTCGTGCCCGTGCTCGTGTCCGTGCTCGTGCCCGTGCCCGTGCTCCATTCTCCCTCGTGCCCGTGCCCGTGCTCCGTTCTCCCTCGTGGTCGTGGTCGTGGTCGTGCCCGTGCCCGTGCTCGTGCTCGTCGTCGTGCTTGTGCTCCGCCACACCCCTCCAGGTGGCGGTGCCGCGCCACATCCCTGCGACCCTGGCCTCCCCAAGCCTCGACCCCCCTCCCCCTCCCCCTCCCCCTCCCACTCCCCCTTCACCTCCTCCTCCTCCTCCTCCTCCTCCTCTTCCTCCCCCTCCTCTCCTCCTCCTCCTCCTCCTCCTCCTCCTCCTCCTCCTCCTCCTCCTCGTCCTCCTCTTCCTCCTCCTCCTCCTCGTCGTCATCGTCCTCCTCCTCCTCCTCCTCCTGCTCCTCCTCCTCCTCGTCCTCCTCTTCCTCCTCCCGTCGCCGCCACGCCCTCGCACCGCCTCCCCTCTCCTCGACGCCACCGCCCACGACGCCGCCGCCGACGCAGACGCCGCCGCCGCCGCCGCCGCCGACATCGATGTCGACGTCGTCGTCGCCATTGCCGCCGCCTCCCGATGGCGCCGCCGCGCGCCCTCGTAACCTACCCCTCGGCAGCACCGGCTCGTAGCCGTAGGGCATCATCAGGGAAAAGCAGAACAGCGACTGTCCGGCCTGCCGCAGCGGCCTCCTGGCAACCCTCTCGTCCTCCTGCTGTCGACGTTCTGCGCCGCCGCCTCCGAATCTTCCGCCGCCTCCGCCTGGGCCGCCGCCTTCGCTGCCTTCGCCTTCGCTGCCTCCCCCTCCGCCGCCTCCGATGCCTCCTCCGCCGCCCCCGCCTCTCGTTCTCTTGCTCTTCCTGCTGCTCGTCGGCCTCATGCATCTCCTGCTACTGTTCCCGCCTCCTCCGCTTGTTCGTCATCCTGCTGCTGCTCCGTCTTCCTCCTTACTCCCACCTGCATTTGGGCGCTAACGCTCCGATGCCAAACCTCCTGCGACCAATTTGTTTTTGCAAGTTTCCGGCCACGGCGATGACGTCAAACGCCATCTCGGGAGACGGCATTCGACGAGCCGCTTCTGGACTTTCGACGGTCCGCGCGGACTTCCTCGACCCGCGCCAGACCCCGTTGTGTTGATGCAATCTGCTCCTCCTCTGCGAGCTTCAGAAGCCTCATGGGGCGACCCATTCGGCTCTACACTGCCTGGTCACATCCTGATCGAGACCCGTGACCCCTTTGTTTGAGCAGGGACCGACCGTCCTGGCATGCATTCCTGTAGGCCTACCACGAGATTTTCTTAGACTCCCCAAATGGTCGAACAGCAAAAACATTGTTATTAGAGCACAAGCCCGATGTGCTAGATCAAGACAGTCTCAGCCAGACACGTTCTGAGAACATCTCGTGCAGACCACAAAAAACGAGTTCTTAGAACATCCTCTGGTGGGCCTGCAGGCGAGCCAGGAGGCTTCGCCACTGCTTGATTTGCGCAGTTCCTTGCGCGCAGGGCGAGGTTTGGACGTTCGCCCCCGTGGCCCCGCCGTGGCCCCTGGACTGCGGGGCGTGCTCGGACTGCGCGCGGCTCGGTCCGGTCGTTGGCCCCCGCGCGCCGGGCGACTCCGAGCGCTGGCGCGCTCGCCACGCGGCCGGCTCGCGGCCAGTTGTGTTTATGTTCGCGCGCGTGCGAGCGTGTGAGTGAGAGAGAGAGATTGGTAAAGAGAGGGAGAGAGAGAGAGAGATTGTTCTTGCTTCACTTCGCCCAACTCTCTCGTGCGCGTGGGCCTGCACGGATCCACCTCCTGCCGTGCGGCAGACCGGAGCTCACACAGTGCATCTGGGACTTCCAGCTGGTCGCTCGACCTACACGTGCAGCAAAGCTTCCTGTGGTACTGGATGGCCTGCTCAGTTAGCCAGATGACTATTGTTCAAAGGGCAAGAACTCATATCTGAGTGTCTATGGGTCGATGCTGCGTCGGGCTGACAACGGGTATGCAATTCTCGCCGTGTGCCACTTGTGCGTCAACCCCAAACTCGGACCTGTCCCCGCTGGAACCACGAGACAGACTTTGGCGCCCGCGGCATAGGCCTCCGCGCCGCCACGTGCGTGTGTGTGTGTGTGTGTGTGTGTCTGTGTGTGTGTGTCTGTGTGTCTGTGTGGCGTGCACGTGATCTGCGGTGATTCCCCTGTGGGCCCGGCCGTGCGCGCACCGGATCCGACCTTTCTCCGCCTCGACGCTGCGCGCGAGGCCGCGACCGCCAAAAGTGTGCGTGTGTGTGTGTGTGTGATTGTGTGTTTGTTTTTGCCCCCGCTCCTCCACCCACGCCTTGACCTTCGTGGCGACGCCCTGTCCCTCCTGCCGCCTCCTTGCCTCCTCGAATCTGCGTTGCCGCCCGACGCGCGTCGCTCCCGTGTGCGGCGGCCAATTGCCCTCCCGCTCCCCGGCGTCCACGCCCGGACGGCTACGTGCTGCCAGCCCCCCGGCTTGGCGCCGCGACCTCCGCGTGGACGGTATATCCTTGGGCGGGCAAAGTCTCCTTCCTAAGACACAAAAACGCATAAACATAAACTTTGGGCGCTCCGCGCGGATTCCTTGCATCCGCGCTGGGCGCCCCTCCCTGCCGCGCGGAGCGCGCCAGGGGCGCCGCCGGAGACGCCGCGGGGGGGCCCAGCGCGGATCCAAGGAAGCCGCGCGGAGTACCACAAATTTATGTTGACGGCGTTTCTTGTTCTTCTTCGACCCACCGGTGCGGCGCTGCGACCTCCGCGTGGACGCTCCCGTGGGCAGGCAGAGTTTCCATTCTCTCCGGGATGGACAGGACCCCCTTGTAGTAAAGCGTGGCTTAGCAGTG